GGTCACCAGCTACTCATGTGTGAAAGGGCCTCCCACTGCGGCGGGCCATGCATTTGTCACCCAACAGGGCACCCTGTGAGACAGGAGTGCTGACCAGACACCAGGCAGGACCACCGGCTGCTGTGGGCTCCGCACCCTGGGCCGAGCCCACCCTGAGGCCCCGGTGGGCCAGGCGCCCAGGCAGGCGACACACTCACGTCTTCAGCGTCCCGGAGGTCATCAGCTCCGTCACCAGCACGATGCACCGCTTCCCCTTGGCGCTGGACTCCCAGAAGTCATAGAAGCGCACGATGTTGGGGTGCTGCAGGCCCTTGAGCATCTCAGCCTCCTCCTTGAACCGCTGCCGCTCGAGCTTGGTGAGCTTCCGGTCCTAGAGAGACAGGCACAGCTGAGCGGGACAGGGCACGGCCTTTCACAGAGCCTGCTGATCCCAGGGGGTCACTCCCTCATTTCCTCCTGCTCAGGGAGCACAAAGGAGGGGGAGGGGGAGGGGAGAGCCCACCCTGAGGAGGAGCCCCTAGCTCATCAGAAAGAGCTCTGCCCTGGTGGGTGTGGCTCGGTTGGTTAGTGTTGTCCAGGGCACTGAAGGGTCACAAGTTCAATTCCTGGGTGAAGGCACATACCCAGGTTGCGGGTTCAATCTCTAGTGGGGGCACACACAGAGGCAACCGATGGATGTTTCTCTCTCACATCGATGTTTCTCTCTCTCTCCCTAGATTCAATGAAAAACATATCCTTGGGTGAGGATTAAAAAAGAAAAAGATCTCCAGAGCCAGAGCAACCTCCAGCCACTGCAGTGCCAATGCTCCCCTCCCTGCGCACACCGAGGGTGCCTCCTGGCGCACCTGGGATCTCGCGCTGCTGAAGGGAAGCACTGACACGGGGCTCTGAGGGCCGGTTCATGACCACAGCATCACAACCAGAAACCAGGAGAGACCAGAGCCAACGGCATAGGAGGAAGGCCAGGGTCTCAGCCACGCCCACGTTGGTGCTGGCACAGGCACACATGCTGCACCCACACCCTCAGCACATGGGACACACTCCAGCACCCTGCCCAAAGGCTACACCTGACCCGCGCCGGCCACCACCCAGGCCCTGCCTCGTCCATCCCAGCAGCCTTCTGCGTCTAACTTCGCCTCACAGATCAACCTCACCTCCGCAGGCCCCAGCACGCTTCTCCCACATCCTGAGCACATGGCCCCCAATGTCACCTCGGTCGCAGTCCAGCGAGCCTGCAGAGCCTGGCAGCACACGCCTGGCCCTCCCACAGAAGGAGCCCCAGGAAACAGGAACACAGCTGTGAGTGAATGGGGAGCTTTGAGGAGTTGCAGGAAGCAGAAGAGGTGCATTTGGACAGATGGTGGGAGAAATCAGAGCTGAAAGGAAACACAGGCCTGGACTCTGGGGATATTTCCAAAAGAGCCCAAAGGCATAAAGATTCCAACAAATCCAGAGAGGAGGTGGGGAGGGGCTGGGGTCATATAGAGGTCATCGGGTTACAGGATTCTATCCCAAGTGGTGCTCTGAGCATTAGGCACCCTTCCCCACAAACCAGCCCCATCCCACAAACCTCCATCAGCCTCGCCATGCCAAGTGGGCCCAGCTGGCACGAGCACCCCAGAGCAAAGAATACCAGGAGAAAACAAAGACAACTTCGAGAACATCTAGCTCATGTGCTTGAAGGTCCAAGAGGCTGACACACATAAATGAGAGCAAGTTTCTACTGAAAAAGGAGCAATCAAAATTCCCAGAGAACCAAGATGGCTGCGCAGGTACTCGCCACCTCCCACAACCACATCAAAATTACAACTAAAAGACAGAACCACATCATTCAGAACTGCCTGAAATTGGGTTGAATGGAAGCCCTACAACAAGAGAAGTAAAGAAGAAAGCACATTGAGGCTGGTAGGAGGGGCGGAGGCACGGAACAGGCTGGTCCAGCACCCACCTGTGGTGTTTTTTAAATCAGAGGGAGATCTCAGCTGCAAAGGCCTCCCATGTGAAGCAAGGGGTCCCAGCTCAGGGTTCCAGAGCTGAGAAGAGAAGTTCCCATAACTCTGGGCTGTAAAAACCAGCAGGGATTGTAGCTGAGTGACACAGAGGCTGCTGGAGACCCAGGTGTTCCTCTTAAAGGACAAGGCACACGGACTTACATGGAATCACATCTTCTGAGCTCCAGCACCAGGTGGCTTGGGGGGGCCCAGGGACATACGAAGAGGAACTAGACTGTCTGGTATTGGAGCAGGAACTCAGGGGCAGCTTTCTCCCAGATCAGGGAGCTTACAAGGGTCATTGTTCCTGTGCTGGGACATCCTGTGTCACAGAGCTGACTGGCAGCCATATCTGAGTTTTCACTAGCTGGAACACACTGTTCACTCCGCCCTGGTGATTCTGAGACCTTGCCCCATCCAATTTGCAGCCCCACCCAAGCTGTTTGCAGTGGTTTTCCCATATGAATGGCCTATCATGGCTCAGGCTTCAGACTTTGCTAAAATCTCTCAAACAAGCAGTAGCTGGTGTCAGCATGCCCCAAACATATCAGTAAGAGGCTCAAGACTCAGCACTAGCACCAGCCTGCCTTGCTTCACAGCTGGGCCTTGTGTGGGCACTTATAAGCCCAATACAAGTAGCAGCCTCTGCAGACCTCTCTGTATCTATTGCCGGGTGGCCCCAGGCAGTGGCTGACTTAGCACCTCCTGAGAGGCCCTAGAGCCAGTGCACCAGGTGGACAACTTCAGACCATACCAGACTACAACTCTACACATCCACAAGTGGCACACTCAAAAGGCAGACTCAGTGAGCACCAAAGCCCCAATGAAGCAAGTCCTACTCCATAGGGGTGCCTCCTACACAGCCGCTCTTCCACTGTATTCCCAGCTGCTCCTCATAGCCAATTGACCTTCAGGCCAACAACAATAGAGGTTCAACTACAAGACTGTACACTAAGCCCACACAGGGGTGCACCTAGAGTGCCCAGCTCAGGTAACTGGGGAGGCTGAACACTAGGCCCTACAAAACATCTACTATACAAGGTCACCCTACCAATTCTAGGAGATATAGCAACTCTACCTAATACATAGAAATAAACACAGGGAAGCAGCCCAAATGTGAAGACAAAGAAACATGTTACAAATGAATGAAATGGAAGCAAGCAAACTACTGGATACAGAGTTCAAAACCAATAGGTTACTCAAGGATCTTGATGAGAGCTTCAAAGGACTCAAAGAGAGCTTCAAGGGGCTTAGTGAGACTTTCAAGGACCTTAGTGAGAATGTCAAAGACATAAAAAAGGACCAGTCAGAAATTAAGCATCCACTAACTGAAATAAAAAAAATAATTTACAGGGATTCAACAGTAGAGTAGAGGATTCCAAGAATCAAATCAACAATTGGAATATGAGGAAGCAAAAATCACCCAATCAGAAGAGCAAAAAGAGAAAAAATAATCCAAAAATATGAAGATAGTGTAAGAAGCCTCTGAGACAACTTCAAACGTACCAACATTCGCATGGGGGCGGGTGTGCCAGAAGGAGGAGAGAGAGAGCAAGATATTGAAAACCTATTTGAAGAAATAATGACAGAAAACTTCCCCTACCTGGTGAAAGAAATAGACTTACAAGTCCAGAAAGCACTGAGAGTCCCAAACAAGAGGAACCCAAAGAAGCCCATACCAAGACACATCATAATTAAAATGTCAAGGTTTAAAGACAAAAAGAGAATCTTAAAAGCAGCAAGAGAAAAGCAGTTACCTACAAGGGAGCTCCCATAAGACTGTCATCTGACTTCTCAACAGAAACTTTGCAGGCCAGAATGGAGTGGCAAGAAATATTAAAAGTGATGAAAAGGAAGGACTTACAATCAAGATTATTCTACCCAGAAAAGCTATCATTTAGAACTGAAAGTCAGATAAAGAGCTTCACAGACAAAAAAAAGCTAAAGGAGTTCATCACCACCAAACCAGTATTACACAAAATGTTGAAAGGGCAAAGTGGGGGGGGGGGAGGGAGGGGGAGAGGAAGAGAAGGAGGAAGAAGAGGAGGAGGAGGAGGAGGAGGAGGAGGAGGAGGAGGAGGAGGAGGAGAGGAGGAGGAGGAGGAGGAGGAGGAGAGGAGGAGGAGGAGGAGGAGAAGAAAGAGGAGGAGGGGAAGGAGAAAGAAAAAAGGAGAAAGAAGAGGAGGTAAAAATATGAACCATAAAATGGCAATAAATACATAGCTCTTCATAATTGAATCTAAAAATCAAAATAAACAAAGAAGGAATCTAATGAACAAAATAAACTGATGAATAAAATAGAACTAGAGGCATGGAAACATGGAACAGACCTGATGAATCTCAGAGGGAAGGGTGGGCAGGGGAGAGATTAACCCAGGAAAATATATATGTATATATATGTATGTATG